ATCTTGATGACAGAAGAGAAATGGAGGATGCAAATTAGCCGATAATTTAGTATGGTCTTCGCTCTCATAATTATTAAAAGTTGGTTTCCTGTTTCCGTTATGAATGCTATGTTTACCTGCTGCGTCCACTTCAATTGGACTGAGTGGCAGACGTACTTCAATGCTATTATTGTGGTTCGGTTTTTTCATGCAGCCATCGGCCATACCTGATTTGATAGCTTGAGGATCTAAATTTTCTTTGTTTTCCAAAATCATTTGTTCCATCGAGCTAAGATTTCCTACACCATGAAATTGTTCCATACATCCAGTATCGGGTAAAAATGTTGGTTTCTTTACTTATTTCGTTATTAACATATCGTTGGTATTTAATTCGTTCCATTCGTCGATACCCAAATCACCTGTAATATAGATATAAAAACGTTAGCAAGGGGGAGAACAACAGGGGAGTTATGGCACGGAATCTCTATAAAATTATTTTTTTCCTAAATAATTTAATATTGTTTCTTGGGAAAGCAGCTGATTATGGTATTGCGCAACCAATTGGTTTCTTATAAATTGAAAATAAACCGAGTCGCAACCAAATAGTTGTTTGTATATTGAAAATAAACCGAGTCGCAACCAAATGGTTGTTTGTACATTGAAAATAAACCGAGACGCAACCACATGGTTGTTTGTATATAGATTGATATCACGCACACTACTACAAAAATAATAGACCTAACGACAAAAATAATAGAGCTTGCGACTAAAGATGATCACTACTCTCACAATGTTCTTTAACAATGTAATGTTGCACGAGCTGGGTACAGAGACAAAGAAGGAAACAAAAGGCATAATTAGAAAGTATAATATTTTCTTGATGTTCGGATAAAAGTCGGACAATTAAATAATCTCTGATTAATCAATCAAAGTACAAATCTATTGTTTCGTTAAGAATTTCATAACCGAATTCCTTTTCCACTCTTCTTCACTTTTAATTTTTTTAATATAATTTCAAAGCATGGTTGCATTTTTTATTGGCGACTGAAAAATTATTATCAATGTATAGTGAACGAATATGTCTTGCTTTTAATAATAAAAGCCATCCTTTGTTTTTGTATGTTTCGTTTGGTTTCTCATTTTATAATTTTTTACTCAGATTTTTGTTATTGAAATATTTTTATTTATTTATTTATTTTTTATTTTATTAAGCATTTGCGCAGTTTGTTGTTGCTATTGTATGGCAACGTTAACATTAACAACTACAACAAGAGGCAAATTATACCGAGTTCAACGTAGTTTTATAAAATATTCATGCATGACACATACAACTGTATATCTATGCAATATATTCCAAGAGAAAAATATAAAAACAAAGCAAAAAAAAAAAGAAGCAGTCAACTAGCAGTTTCAAATAAATGCAAATTGAGCATATATACACGCACGCATGCATGCATGCATGTATGCATGCAAACAACCGCACGCGTACACACAAATATATATATATATATATATATATATATACATACGTAAATAAAGACATACATATATAAATATTATAACATGCATATATATACGTATGTATAAAAATACATATAATTCGTATGTAGCATAGCCACGCAGGTCGTATACGTAATATACAGCTCTAACTACTTACGCGGGCATAATTTGATAGCATTTGAGAGCTGTTCATAGTGCTGTGTACGTATGTAATAATTATGTGTGTATGTATGTATATGTGCATGCATGCATACATATTTATATTAATAAAACCATTCAGTACGATTTATGTGGAACAAACGCACATATCATTAAATGTTAAAACACATATACACATATATACATATATGCACAGATTTTCAGTGGATTTTTTTTTTGTATATTCTTTGTTTTTATTCTATTGTGAATCTCTAGTTACATCAGCAGTAATAAGCAGTATATTTGTGTATATAAATATATATATAGGTTCATATAAGTTTTCCCTGAGCTGTGATGTTGTCATGACAACAAACACTCTTCAAGAATGTTTTTCTGACAAATTTAAGTCTATAAGCAAAAATGAAAAATATCAAAACAGTTTTATGTCGAAAAATTCCATAATTTTTCAAGTGTAATTAGCATCTATTTGAAATACGTCACTTCATTAACTGCTCTGGCATGACATGAAAGCGAAACTAATACCAGTTTGACGATATGAAATCAAAAAAGTATATTTGACGCGTTTGTACGACTGTAGGTGTGTGGGGTTTTTTCACTTATGTTAAAAGGTAGCAGGCAACATTTAAAAGGCTAAAAGTAATGAGTAAGAAATGAATGCAAAAAAAGTAAATTGGGGCCACATCTTATGAGATTTGTCACAGAAAAAGTGTTGCTTATTTATCGCAGCGCCTGCGTTAGATTTGTTGAGTGTTTTCAATGTAAGGAAATCGCCGTCATTTTTCTCTATAAGCTAGAGATAATTCCGGTCCAGTGTAAACAAGGATACAGGTGTAGTGTAGCTACCGGAATGGCAACTACGATCTGAGTGCGTAAACTTTTAGGCGAACCAGTATATGCTAAGATATCATTAATATTACTAGGTAAGAAAATTTAATAGTTGGATCAGTTTACAAAACTAATCAAGCTTGTCTATATGACGATCGTTTGACTTCGAGTAGGCGTCGCGAATAGTTTAGTTAAAAATGCAAGTAAGTTAAGTCCATCTTCGTAAGCGAGCTGTATCCTTCTGCCTACCTAATCGTTCGGGTACTCGCATGGGTATGAACACAAAACAAGAATGCCACTTTTTAGTCTCAACAAATTCAAGGTAAGAGTAGTTTAAGACGCTAAAGACGAATTGGAGGGACGGGAGTGGCTTAATCGCGGCCGGCGGTTGAACTCTAGCCTTTGTTTTCACTGTGTCGAAAACGACGAAGAGATTGAACAGAGTTAAAATATCCTATCTTTAACATGTAATCATATTACACCACTTGTGGTACAGAATATATTTAGTGCGGTCGTATGTAACACGCAGTAGGGCTTAAGATAGACCCATATTTTTTTAAACCGATCGTTCCAGAATCATAATGCGAGTTAGTCTGAGTGGGTCTGTCCGTCTGTCCGACTGATGTCTGTCCACGTATATTTTGCGTTCAAGGTACAGGTCGCAATTTTTGAGATATTTTGATGAAATTTGTCATACGGAGGCGTTTTGTCTTATGGACGACCGTTATTGAAAAAGAGTCGGATCGAATCAATTACTTATCAGACACGGAAAAATGTGCTAATATCGTTGAGTAGTGTCAATTTGAGGTAATAATTGTATGAAATCAGGAACTTAAAGCTTAAGTTGTTTTTTGTTGCTCACTCTCACCTGATTCTTTATATAACAAGTATGTAATATTAACAGATTTGAACGGGTAACGTTTTAACTCTCGTTAATCTTTATTTATCTAATATCTAACATATAAAAATTTTAATCAAACAGCTAAAGCAAAGAAAGGCAATAACGTATGTGTATAACGTATTCGATGTGAAATTAATCATTTCCTTGCTTTCGCATAGTACTTGTTAGTATCGTTAAAGTTATCAAAATTGAAATATCGGAGTAGAATACATTTTCCTGCTTTTTTCAAAAGGATAGGATTAATAGTTTATGCTTTATGTAATAACAGATCAAAGTCCTGCAGTGTTATTATCACGGGATTGCCAGGGAGAGGAAACTCTCCAATCTCCGTCTGTAGGCTCTGTCATTCGTCGTTGCATTTCGGACAGGCAAAGCACACATTCACCACATATTCAGCGTCCACTGCTCAATTATAAAAACTACTCGATGGATCCCGCTCAAATTCTCACCTATACAAATACCATTGGAAACATTCATGGCCGCTTAATAGCTGATTTATGTAGAAGTCTATCTCACCGTGTCGTCTATTAAACCATACTTGCAGGTCCGGTATGAGTCGATGCGTCCATCTGCCGTTGTTGTCCTGTCCTAGCGATTCTGCCATTCCTTCACCAAAATTTTTCTCGCTGTTTCGCCTCATCCGCCCGTACGTTTTGCAATTCAGCTTTGTAGGCATCTTCTTTAGCGCGCAGGTTGATTGGCACCTTAGAGTACAGACTATGATGGTACTTCGAGCGCCTTTTGCTAAATGGAAGAGCCATTGTAATATAGTAGCCGTTACCATCTCAGTTTTCATCTTTCGGCAGCCGTGTCTAAGGCCTCGCCTCTTTGGTAGTAGTCGCGCTACCGCTTTTGTGCGTCCGCTGCTCTTTCATGCGTTGCATCATAATTCCTAGATGTTTTATTGCATCTTGACGTATGTCAGTCTTGTCAACTTCAAATGTGATTTTTTCCAGCTTTTTTTTATTAGAACTGTTTCCGGTTGGTCTTTAGCTAATTTTAAAGCCACCACTGTGAAATTCCTTTTGCATGGGTTAGTCCCAAAACGTCTTCGTACATAATACTCCACAGTGTGCGGTCTAGAACTGAACCTTGGGTGCTATATTAGTACACATGAGAACGTAGATGCGGCATGTGTTGATGGAGGTAATCAAAACCAAGCGACGTTTTGTAGAAAATCTTTTCTTCAGGTTTTGTAGGAAATTTTAAATATCTTTATTATCTTGTGTATCAGAAAAGCCTATTTATTTTTGGAAGTGAGCAGGCGTCCTTCCGCGAGTGTTAAGATGCAGGACGAATGTGAAGGTTATGAAGCGTGCAAACATCAGGCGGCTTCTAAATTTGTCAAATTACTTAAAGTATTTTAGTTTGTCTGAGAAACTCACATAGCAATCGAGTTTTCTATCGTCGTTCTTTCCGGAGCACCTAAAATTATTTTCAATATAAAATAGATAGCACACAGATTAACAGTTATGCCTTCTTCTTTGATGCAATTTTGGCATTTTTTTCAGCAACCTTATGCTTTGCTCGCTGGGAAGCTTCTGTGCATAAAAGTTTTTACATCTTTCGAAACATCATCCAAATAGTTTGGTAATGATCTTAATAAACAACAATAATTTGCGTGATAGATCCTATTGCGCTACCTATTGTGCTACTCTCTCCACTTCGTAGACGGCATAGCAATGTTTTGTTACATACTTTATGCGATTTCTGCTTCCACTATTGATGTTATGTTTTGTGCACCATTGCATTAGCATTGTCCCGTGTTACCAATAAGTTTTAAGATTTTCTTGAGTCTTCGCAGGTTTCTGGAGATGGATATTTACTCGAATCAGCTAATGGCACAGCGAAATGATTTTCTTGTTGTGTAATCGGTTTTTTTAAATAGTTTACGGTAATGGTTTTGGATAATGAATATTCAGAATTGTATCTGTGCCAATTTCTATCATTCGTTTTCCGGTTGATGATCATCGAATGCTAGAAACTTTTTAAGCATCGAAGTTTCTGAAGCGACAACTATTTAATTCCCTTCTAGATCTAGCTTTCCGTAATGCGTATAATATTAGAAACAATGATTCAAAATTTTTTAACCCACATGGGTCGTACGTGTTCCTTTATCAAATAACAATATTGAAACGTATAGAGCAATTTTGCGGGCGATTAGTTTACCGTATATTTGACCAAAGTTAGGTTAAATTCAACTAAGAGCGTGTGATGCAGCAAATTCACTTAGGACGTAATATGTCAGTAGATACTACGGTGTGTAAGGTAAATAACTTAACAAATCACAGTGACACGGAGAGAGTGATATCATCTATTCAGCTATCCTTTGCTACATCTATTGATATTATTAATATCAGTAGGAGGTAGACATCTATGTTCTTCCAAGAAAGTTACTTTAGTTAGTTTCACTTTATCAAAAATGTGTACAAGCCTACGTGGCTGTAAGTCGTCTTGTTGAGAGCATTTTTGGCGGAGCATTTATAAAACACGCCGAGTCTGCTGGCCAGAGGTCCTTTGTTCCCTTTTGATGACAAGGCTCGATTTTAGTTCCAAATTAAGATACAATATTACAGCTTTAGCATTTTCCTTATTCTTACTGCAAGGTAGCTTCTTTTTACATCCTCTCACATCTGGTTGCCTGCGACGTAAAGTGTCTCTCTAAAAGGCATAAAGCAGCAGAATGTTCGGCTACCACGGATAAGATGAGAAGCTCAATAGCTTTATAGTTTGCGGGAAAACTTTATATTTTAATTAAGTTAAATAATAAAATCAGAACATCAGCAACAATCAAGTACTTAACGCTTAAACAGCCTTTGCGAAACGTATAAATTATAGAATTATATCAGTCGGGTATAAATTTAAAAGTGAAAAGATATAAACAACTTTTCTTAAGCTTTATAAAAGCCTACATTGAATTTGGTAATAGGTGGTATTGAAAACTTTTCAAGAAAATTTCAATGCATACCTGTATTAGTAATAACGTATCCCCGCAATTGTCGATTATGTGTAGTTTAACCTGATTACCTTTTAATTGCGGTCAATTTGTTGGTACTGTGTTTACACTTCTTGTCGATTGTTTTTTCGCCTTCCAGTTGCACACATTTTCCTAATTATCCTTGCCATTCAAATACCATCGAAACAATAATAATGTTGCGTTAATTTTAAATGACCCTAGTGTTGTAAAAGGCAATAACTGCAATTGCAACAACAATAATAACAGGAACAACGTGAAACTAACAAAGTTAAGTGTGTACGCCAGATATCTGACTCTCAAATGCACAGAAATGTCTGAGTTAACCGCAAAAACCACTTGTTAAACGTTCGGCAGTATAGAGGCAACAGAATTGAATTCGATGTTTATAAGCGATTGTACGTGTTTGTAATACAATATGCTTGTATCGACATACATATTAAACCTTTACTATATATTACATTCATGGCTTCGTATAGAAAAAGAAACGAGAAGAGCTAATGAAAGTGTTACACTTTTCCCAACATTGTACATCACAGAGTAGTAATAGCAATAGTCGCAGTAGCAATAGTAGTGGTAGTAGTAGTATGCCAGCCATAAATATGAAACGGTTTAACTAACTCAACTCATTGACTAATGATGGATGCCTGCCTGCCTGCCTGCTTGCTTGCCTGCTGCTGCTGCTGATGTTGCCTGACTAACTGCCTGCATACATTAAATACAACAACAACAACAATCACAACAGCAACGAAAAAAAAAAAAGAAGAAAACAAACATATATATATATATATATATGGGGAGCAAAAGAAAAAAAAAGCTCAAGGTCGTCAATCGTCTGCTGCTGTTTTGCCGCCGCCGCCGTTAACGACGTCGTAGCTAAAAAACTCAACACAAATAGTAGAAAAAAAAAAAAATGCAAAATAAATGAATGAATGTGAATCCACAACGACACAATACAAAAGTGTTCTTAACTGTCATAACTTACATGCTGGCGATGGCGATACACATGGTATGAAAATTTGAAATAAAAAACAAACGAAAAAAAAAACACACAGAAAGGATTGAATAACTGGCGAATAAATTGGGCTAAGCGGGCGGCTATGTTAACTGTTAGAAAGAAAGCGAGAGGAAGAGAAAGAGATAGTGAGTCAAAAGGAAAGAGAAAAGCACAAGCACACGCATATACAAACGCAAACACAAACGTACGCACACACAAATGTGGACATATATACAATGTGTGTGTGTGTATGTGTATGTATGTATGTATGTATGTATGTTTGTACAATAATAAGGCTGACTTGAAACGATGTTATCAAGGGAAAGTATTGAATGCATCAAAATGCATTTCATCATGGATATATAAATAAAATAAAAGCGTCTACCGAGGCAAACAACCGCATACAAATATATTTACAAAATTTCACTTAACATCATGTTTTTACATGTTTTCACGCACCTGAATCCAAAGCTCACTTAAACATACAAAGGGGCACATAAGCAAACATACACAGGCACAAAACCAGACAGACAGACAGACAGACAAAGAGATAGACATTCATTTTACATACTTTGGGGAGATGCAAAAAGAAAGCAACAACAACGATAAAATCCGTTTCATATGTTTGTATATATTTATATATAAGTTTGCCTCAAAGCGTATATGTATATATATATGTGCATAAGTATGTGTGTGTTTGCGTCTTGTCATCGCCTGGCTGTTTGGGTTCTGTCGTTTTTGTTGTTGCTGTTTTCATCGTTGTTGTTATTGTTGTCGTATTGTATACGATGGCAACTTAAAACCGAAAGGGTTGTGAAAAGTTTTTCACTTTTCTCCAAAAAATTCGATAAAAGAAGAAAACAGCGGTTGCAGCAGCAGACCCGAAGCAAACAAAAAAAAAAGACGAAAACCAAAACTTTCACCGTTAAAATCATTTAAACGTTTTATTTCATTTCGTCATCGTCATCGTCACATGTTGTTGCCGTTCTCTTCGTCTGAGACGCGTCCTTTGAGTAAACCCAAGGAATACACACTTACGCATACATGGGCAAATAATAAGTGCGAGTCATACGCAAAATTTCACACATTCACATTAACACATATGAATGCTTACGAACACTGCATGATTATGGTGGGCTTTTACGAAATGCTTTTGAAAAGAACGTTAGGCCATGAAAGTCCTATTAACCAAATCACATCGCACAGTGTACGGGCATCCAACTATCCATATATGCGCATACATACACATCTTATGCATATTGTAGAAATGCATGTTAGTTTATGGCTGTTTGGCTGAATGAATGAATGAATGAATGAATGAATAGCTAACTGGATGGCTGGCTGGCTGGCTGGTTGGTTGGTTAGCTGGTTGGTTGACTGCGTTAACTGCGTTTGGTTGTATTTCTTCTTCTTCTTCAGTATAAGTTAAAATGTTCGACAGGCTCTACATTGTTATTGTTGCTTACGTATGCAAACCTACGATAAATATGTACGTAAAACGTCATCAGACTTTCGTGTATATTCAAACGCACTTAAACACATGCACGTGCCTACGCATACTTACTTAGTCACTTACTTCCGCATTCATATATACACGTAAATGTTAAGAAGAATGTGTTGCGTGCTTCTAGGATGCTGTTATTGTTATATGCGTATATGTGTGACCGTATGCATGCATGCTTGCTCATTTGCGTGCTTGCATGCATGCATGCATGCATGCATGTAGATTTGTATGTGATCGTTTCGAAAGCACATCCATATATACAGCATAGTCGCAACAAAGCCGAGTTTTTGTTGTTATTGTAGCGATGGTGATGGTAGCCGTATAATAGTTTATTTTATGGTTCTGCCATTATTTATGTACGTGTGTGCATATATATATACATATGCATATGTACATAAATATATAAATATATATATATATATACATACATATATATGTGTACCTATACATGTTGTCTTTCTTTGTATATGTAAAAACGTTTCTGGTCTCACGCTTGTTTGAAGGATAACGCAAATCCTTGAATTTGAACTTAAATAGGTCAAGCGTTCAGTGAGTTAAGTAAATGACTTTAAAAATAAATTGGGCATCGTCATGCCATCATTAGTACGGTTGATGGTTGTTGTGGGTGAATCGGTCTCAAGAACTATAACAAAGAGGCTTTCCTTTTTTGATAATAATAATAACAATAATAAAAATACTCAAAAGTATGACTACAACAGAAACGATAACATTTAGAGTTAAATAATAAAAAAAAAAAAAAAAATGAAAAATGAAAAATGAAAAAAATAAATATATTTATATGTATTGCAACTGAAGCATTACTAACAAACTTTCGCTTTCATTGCAACTTTTCGGTAAAGGAAGTGCTCACATGAGCACACTCGTACACAGACACACCTACATTCATATTTATTTATATATGATTTACTTTTTTCCTTTCTTCCATTCATTTCTACATTTTATATAAAAATTTCATTTTATTGCAGTCTGCACACCAAGCATAAATCCTTACCAGCCATATCAACCACATATATACACACATACGCATTCACATATATATATGTATATATATATAAATTTATATATCTTTTTTTCCCGTATAAATGCATTTAATTTCTTATTTTCTTGTTTAACCAACGATTGTGTAGGTTATCGAATGGTATATGTATAGTATCAAGAAAGAGCAAGGTTACGTTCTATAAAGGTTAATAACACCAAAAACTCTTAGTAAATAATAGTAAAAAAGTAAAAAATAAATAAATGATTGTAAGCACCCACTTGGTTTGGCTAAAGTTTAACAAAAGCTTTGACAGAAAATTGAAATAGATTTCTATATAACTCTATCCGCATACTGCTTAGTTGTTTTATTCAATGAATTGAGTTCGCATTGCTTGGGAATTCATTCAAATAGATATTGTCATCCATATTCTTAAAACTTCCAAACTCTCTATCATTGCAGGGACTGTGTCATCGACTTAAACAAGAATGCTTTATATGTTTTATCGAAAATCTATCAAGAGTTATAAAAGAAGGAAAAGGTTCTGCATCATATTAAATGCTGGCACAAAAGCGCTGAAACTAGGTAAATATATATGTGGCTGAATTTATTGCGTGTGAGGGCGTGAGACTAAGTTCATTTTCTAAGAAAGTGTGGCATATTCTTAATATAAGGTTATATCTCTAAGCTGCCCGCAACTATATAAGGCATCGTACATAACAAGGCTTCTTAGAGTTTTCAATAGACGTAGTTTTGCGGCAAAAAAAAAAAACGCCATTTGAGGAAAACCTTTCTTTTCATGATTAATTCAAAGTATACTGCACTAAATCGTTACGAATAATGAACAGTGGATACGTTGCGTTATCTGAACGCCTAACAGCCGTGAGTTTTTTTTTTTTTTTTAGTAAGCAACCACTCCTATGCGCTTAACGCAAGAAAGACGAAAAAGTGAAGAAAAAGAGGTGGCCGCAGCCTGGTGGGCTTGTGTACCCACCATCGGTAAGTGATATGCCTTCATCGACACTGTAGCTACAAACAATTTAAACTCCACTGCACTGAGATTTGAATCCGCGAATACTGACTTATTAGTCGCAGTTCTTACCTATTCGGCTGCTCTTACGGACCATAAACCTGAATATTCCTGGCAACTCTACTTAGGGGAGTTAGCTGGGTATCGTGTGTTATGATACGCTCTAGTCTAATGAAACCAGCACCAGAGAAAGCCAGTACTTGAGATGAAAAACTGAAACAATATGCCAAAAATCGTGCTACTGTGAACAAACTTCCTTATAATAAGTTAGACTATTCTTCCGTTCCGTACCTTACAAAACCGTATGGGTCTCTTAGAGTATAGGAGCCTCTTTTAATGTGTTATATGAATAGGGTCAAACTTTGTCCACCCGCGTTGTCCGAATCCGTCTTATATGAATACATGTTTTACTGTATACGTGTAAATATTTGAGAAAGTGCTACGAGTTAGTAAAGACGCATAAATGTTGCATTTTCACCATGTTATAGGAGCATTTTGCAATTTGTCATACGAGTAAGATCAAAGTTTGTCCCGTCGCGTTATATGGATCCGTCTTATAAGAATACATTTTTTAGCGAGGTCTCCTGCATAAAAGTAAACATTGCTAGAACTCGAGAAAGTACTACGAGTTAGTAAAGATGCATAAATACCACGCTAACTCAACAAAGGTCCCGTAAAATATTAAACATGCTCT